CCCGGTAGCCGTGAAAAAAAAATGGCTGTTCATACGTGGCTGAAATATTTGAAGTTTGTGATGAATAGGGTTGTCTGTTATTTTAAACGTAACATTGTCCGAGACAGATGTGAAGGCGCCTTTAGGCTAAAGTATGTTTGTATAATCAGATTAAAAATAATTTATAGTTACATTTTGTACGCGTTTATACTTTAAACTAATTAATTTTTGTGTGTGTGTGTGTGTGTGTGTGTGTGTGTGCGCGCGCGTTTATACTTTAGACTAATTAATTTTTGAAATCTACAATAATACAAATATTATCGAACCATGAAATGTGAATATATGCGCATCATTTATTTATTTACGTAGATATATTTTTATGTACGTAGTACAATTCAAATTCTTATACATCCGTTACTTTTCAACTGTCGAGAGAGTCTTGTAGCGTTGTCGAGCATGGTGAGAAATTGTTGAATTCTTTGTATAATTGAAATATTCTATAATTTTTAAGATTATAGCTTCAGAATTACCAATTGCAATATTCGGAAAAAGTATTAAATGAAATAAAGATTCACTAATCACTTACATAAACAGTACATAGTACAGCAAGTAGACAGTGCAAAATAAACGTAACAGACCATTTCTAACAAGTTGGTCTGTACTTTTAAACGAGTAAGATATTGAAACAGGCTGAATTAAGAAGTTATCCCAGGTTAGTCATACGACTAAAAAATTAGGCGCTTCATAATTTTCAAATGAAACAATTTTGATCAATCAGATTGTCGAGCATGGTGAAAAATTGTTGAATTCTTTGTATAATTGAAGTATTCTATAATTTTTAAGATTATAGCTTCAGAATTACCAATTGCAATATTCGGAAAAAGTATTAAATGAAATAAAGATTCACTAATTACTTATATAAACAGTACATAGTACAGCAAGTAGACAGTGCAAAATAAACGTAACAGACCATTTCTAACAAGTTGGTCTGTACTTTTAAACGAGTAAGATATTGAAACAGGCTGAATTAAGAAGTTATCCCAGGTTAGTCATACGACTAAAAAATTAGGCGCTTCATAATTTTCAAATGAAACTATTTTGATCAATCAGAAACTTTGTTTCCTAAGGTTTCTGAGAAATACCCCAAGCTACATAAAATTGTATAAAATCAGTTACTTAAATAAAAATTGTAACATCTAAACAGTAAATAATTTCATTACTACAGATGGCTCATGAGTGTGTACAAGTTGCTGTCAGAATACGTCCATTGGTGCAATCTGAAATTAATACAGGGTGCCAAGTATGTCTTGATGTTGTTCCGGGTGAACCACAGGTACAATTGCGGGGCACAGAAAAATCTTTTACATACAATCATGTCTTTGGGGCTGATATTGAACAAGAGGATTTCTATAATACTGCTGTCAAAGGAATGGTGGACAATATTTTCAAAGGTAAATTTGATGTATTTTGTATTAAGAGATTGTATTAATGTAAAAAGAGCCACAAGTAGTATACTTTGTATTAATGTCAAAGTACTGTTTTATCTATGCTATAATAATTTCTTCAATCAAATTCTAACATTGTTATTGTTTAGGGTATAATGTAACGATCTTAGCCTATGGCCAGACAGGTAGTGGGAAAACCCATTCAATGGGAACTTGTTACAACGGTGGACCAAACATGGGTGTAATTCCTCGTGCTATTCAAGATATATTTAAAATATCAGAAGCAAAACAGGAGTATGACATAAAAGTCTCAATTTCTTTCCTGGAGCTGTATCAGGAGCAGCTCTATGATCTTTTAATGGATAAGCCACGCAGTCAATGTATTGTCGACATTAGAGAAGATTCTGTAAAGGGCATCACCGTATCTGGTTTAACAGAAATTGAAGTTAATAATATAACTGAAACTTTTGAATGCCTCACACGAGG